TCCCCTTTGGTGAGTACTAACGGAGGGTTGACTGATTGTGTAAGCGAACATACCTCCTAGTGGTATTTGCGAATGAAATCTGGAGTATGAGTGTCTCAAACGTCAAAAGAGTCATCCCACATGTATACACAGCACCGGTCATGTGTCATAGCTCCACAGCTGAATACACGTAAATGATTTTGAAAAAAAATTAGGTGCCTAGGCTACTCAAACCATACCGGAGAACACCACCAAGGGGTGGACCACGGCACCTTCCATCGTCTGCTTATTTTTATAGTGTCAGCTGCTCTCTCACAACTGAAATTTCGGCTCGCAAAAAGCTCAATTCGTGAAACTCTTGCCAAGATTCAAAATTTCACGCCCTTCGAGATTAAATCCTTCCTTTGCATCATCTTGTAACCTTGTCCTGATTCTTCTCACGTCCATCCCAAAGTACCGCCTCCTAGATTTGTGCGCCACGCTTTGCTTCCTCCGTCGGGTGTAAATATCGGCGTTGGCGTGTATTTGACAATCAGCTGATGCCAGAGAAGGTCGACGAAAGGTGTGGTCATTTGGATAAGGATGTACTTGGTCGTAATTGAAGACTTGATGAGACATAGGTAGGAATCAAACTATTTGGGAGCGAAAATTTGACGTGGTGGAGTAATTCGAATCATTGCCTCGTGGGCAGACTTCTTTGATATCGCGAAATTCAACCGAACTTGGTTCTGGGAGAATATTTCACTCCCAGGTTCGTAGAGGGCACCGCGTACAGGTATTCAGTCTTGCCCTCCGTAGTATATAGACTAGTTGCTGTAGATAGAGGGTTGGGTATCGATGTGTCGAAAGCCAATTCGAGTGCCCATCATTGTTATATGAACTTTATTTACGAATCAGACTATGTTAACTCTATCCGTTCTCTATTGATTACGGCCACGCTCAGAGATATCCGAGACGTCCATCCAAATTCGTAAGACTTTTCGCCCTCAAGAAAATCAGATTTCGACTCGTCAACAATATCATCCCCTCCAATCTTAACTTCCGAGTATACTAACCAAGAGGGCGTCTGAAATATGTGAGTTACTCGTCAGCCCCAAACCCGTAATGACTTTTGGATGCTAGGCTAGCCTCATTCACGACAGTCACTCTCGACCAAGACTTTGCTGATATACTATCACAACCTTCGATTTGTCCTGCGCCATCAATCAGAGAAGTAGTGTGGAGGGGGCTAGGAAGGTTGAGAGACATTCTTAGGTATACACAGGTCTGCTGCGCCCGGCTGGCCGGCCTCTTCGTCGTAGGAGAGCCCCACACCCAGTGGTTTTTGAGACTTTTCCCTGCAGCTACACACCCGCAAATGGCCATTGTTTCGTTGGCTGCAGAGGGGAGATAATGACGGGATAACGGCTCCTCTTAGTGTGTACTCGAATGAAGACCTGTGGGGTTATGACTGCTGGAAAGAAGTCGTGAAAGAGGCATAGGAGGGAGTACACTACCCGAGGCATAGATACTCCCAGTCTGTAGGGAGGAAAGACCTAATTGTCCTTACATAGTTAGAGACTTCATAGGACAATTAACAAATGCAAACATACGATAACACAGGGTATACGCAATCTCCGTTCGCCAAACATCAGCCGCTCAAGACTACTTATTATCGAGCCTAGGAGGATCGACAAAGTTCAATCCCATTCAGAAATAATAGGAAACTCAACAACCAAACCCTTCATCAATTCGAGAAATTCGAAAATTCGAAAATTCATTTTTTCCCTCTTTCCTCCCTTCTCGACCTCGTCGCATCTATCTCTGAATTGTGATCGAGCTCAGGCATTTCACCATGCCTCCAGTTCGCAAAAAGCGCCCCAACGTCAAGTTGGACAACACGAGAGTCCACCCGAGGGCTCTCCAACAATTACCTGGCCTTGCCCAGTCTCCGAAATGCGCGGAGATGAGCAAGGTCTCAACCAAAGGGAAGGAAAAAGCCCTCCCCGCCGTCGCTGAACCCGATACTGACATGATCGGGTCAGTCGAAATTATTGAGGAAATTCCTCAACCATCCTCCGTCCCCCACGGGATTGGAGAATCGTCAAAATCTCCCCCGACCGCGCCAAAACTGTCGGAGAACGCTGCACCCAAAGCAGCGTCAAAATCAACGTCGCAGCCCAAAGCTGCCACGAAAGCAGACTGCCCTCCGGAACTTCGACCCATTATCGAAGCCGAGCAACGACGTGCCGCCGAAACAGCGGCAAATCTGGCCCTCTGCTCCGCCGCCATCTCTGGCGTCGAAGTCACCCTTCTTCCTTTGACCAACGGGTCAAACAGACAATTTGTAGACTCGATGAGAGTCTACCTACGCGCAGCCATCGCGCAATACATGGCCACGGGCCCGGCCTCCACGCCACCCGTCCTCCCTCCTCGCCCGGCGAACCCGATCCCAAGGGCTCCCGACGTCAGGAGCACAACGATTTCCGCCGTCCCAGCGCTGCCTATAAAAAGCACCTGGGCCACGGTGGCCAGAAATGGACTGCAACAAAAAGCAGTCCCAACTGTAAAGGCTGTTCCGCGATCTGCGGCAAAAGCCCAAAATAAAGAAGCTCCGAAGGCTAAAGTCGACAAACGACTGTTCCTTCGCTTAGAGAGCGATCACCCATGGCGCCAGCTTTCGCCTGACGGCATACGGCATCAATTATGTTGTAGGCTACTGTACACCTTGAGTGAAAAAAGCTCTATACACCGTGTCAGAACCGGATTTGCGATTCTGACAGCGGATAAAAATGAAAGGGAAGAGCTCTTAGATGCCTCACCGAAGTTGTCGGACTTCAATGCCAAAATCGAGGAAGCCTCCAACCTTGTCGCCTTTCGGATCGCGAATGTTCCAGCGACTATAAAATTAATCAACCGTATTGAGACGGTCGATGCCGGTAGGATCTCACTGGAGATTTACCGCAAAACACAACGACGTCCATGCCAGGTGCGACCGCACGGCACATGTCGTCCTGGAGCGCCATACAGAAACTGGTATGCACTTTTTAACCGGGACTCCGCCCCTCGTGCGGGCTTCCGAATTCTCGACGAGTCCGGAGCGGCTACAAAGATCCAGCCTCGTCGCCAAATTGAACAGTGCAAACGCTGTTTGGGCTTCCACGCCACTGGTGGTTGCTCCCGCGCCCCAGCGTGCTGGAACTGCGGATCAAACATGTACTCGGAAGCCGAGTGCAAGGCCCTCACAAAGTGTCGCAACTGTGGGGGACCCCACCGATCGGATTCTCGGGACTGCAAAGTCAGACCCAGAAATTCTGGACCGGTGACCAAAGAGCAGCTCGCGTGGATCCGCCACATCGAACAAGGGGAGTTCGCGAAGGTGGCACGAGCACGAGCAACAGCAAAGAAGGCCGAAGAGGCAATCACCGCCGCTGCAAAGGACGTCTCGATGGCCGAGGCTACAGGTTTCGGAGTTCTGGAATTTGAAGAAGTTTGAGGACACAGCAACCTCGACGATGTCCCTTTTGGGGAATCTACTAACAATTAGCAGGATACCGGCTGGATAAAAAGTGCCTGCTATCTCATCTCTTGCTCTCAGCGGAGATTGAGTAAATTTGTCATTTGGAAGATGTGGCAGGAAAGGGAACGGGCGAGAAGCGCGGGATCCGGACCACATGAAAAATCTTGTAAATTTGATTTCAGTCTTTGGCTTTTAGTTTTGATTTTAGTTTTTGATTACAGTTTCTGAGTTATAATTTACCTGCTACTTTTTCTGTAGCGGGTCACGCGGTTGGAATGAGTTGGGCCTGTAAGCAGTGATCCCCGCCGGCTCCACCAGTCTTGTACCGATAGTGGACCTAGAGCTTTAGCTTAGGACTTTAATATAAAAAAAAAAAAACCCCCTTCATCAATTACTTCCATTAAGCATCACCTGACTTACCTCTGTACTCCATATTTTCAATGGATCGGAGTTCACATTGCTAATCATTTACTTCACTACCAAAACTTTCACAGGGAAGTGCGAGATGTGACAACTTGTTCATCGTATCGCCATGCAGCTTCTCGACGTCCTATCTGTGAACAAGCGGTGAGAAGAAGCTTGCTCGCATCGAAGTAGGGCTATCAAGAAATTCAGACGCTGACAGCCACTTGTCAACTATGATTTTCGATCGTAATCATTAATGTCAGGTCGACAGGATAGATAAACCTCATCGTCAATGAATCCACCAGTAATATGAGGTAAATAGCCCGGTTTCAGTGCGTCGAATACCAATCAAAAAAGTTGATTACACCTGCCACACCTCCTTACCTGTCCACCGCATATTGGCCTCGCAACAAATAAATCAACTGACACGCTCCCCCGCTTGCATGACATATCAACGACAATTATCCAATCATTTAATTGTGGGTCAACGTTAAGAGCTTCGCAGGACGTGCAATTGAGAGGGATCGCCTGCATTTTTGGGCAAATGCGACAGGTAAAAACGCGGGAAAAGATCGGCCAACATCGGTTGGATCCCTGTGTTGGTCTAGCTAAATGATCCATAGCTGCAGCGCTGGTGACCTGTATTATCAATTTCACAAATTCGACTTTTTTAGAGCAGTCTGTTGTAGCAGTCGAAGACCTATGTAGGAATGAATTGTGACAGGTAATAAGAAACAAAATCTTTTGGTATAAGTCGGTGAAATCCACCTCTCTTTGATCAAACTTCCATCACACTCATCCTATTCTTCACACTCCTCACATATCCATCTAAGCCACACACCAATCTTCCTCGACTTCCTCGATTCCAATCCATATAGCATCATTTCACATGATGTCTCAATCAGCCGAAGATTCTGCGCATTTCGCAGCAGATCCACTCCTAGGCATTACTTCAAGCTTCGTGGTACTTTGCGACCACTCTAACCTTGACATTTCGAAACGAAGGTTGGACGAAGACACCGATCTCAAGCCTATAAGTACAGCACTTTCTAATCTTCTCATGTCCCTCAATTATTATGCCACATATCAGCTACCACCATCAGCTGTTGATACAAACATGCCTGCACGTATCAACTCAATTAAGAGGCGTTTAGCTTCCGAATGTATAAGCTCAAAGCATCTCATACCTCTAATCAATTCTATTCTCGCTGATGAGACAGATATCGAAATTTGGAAGCAACTGACTGATCTGATGGATTCTCTGGAGCCAATCCCTCCGACCGTGATGGATGTTAGATCGCCACCATTCATTGATTCACGACACATACGGTATACGGCTCCGCTTGAAGGTCAGGACCAATTCATGGAATCATTGAAAGATGAGCTTAGGATCGAATTAGCAGGCACAATTTTTGAGAATGTCGACGGCTTCTACAAAAAGTACTTTGAGGGGACTACTTGGGCAAACAAGTGTAAGGATATTGCAAAGCGCTACGTGAACAGGCCAGATAAAGTGAGCTTCCAGTTCCCCACCAATCCAACGGAAGCCAATGTTTGGGAATGGATCAAGGCGGTTCAAGCGAAATTTATCGAGCCTTACAAGCCATACAAGACCTCCAAGGAACAGAAACCTATTCCTCTCCGCGCTGAGACGTTCCAGACTACAGGACCTGGGCAGATAAATGGTGGATTGGCTCCGCGGCAAATTGATATCTTCCTCAAGAGTCGCCATCTCCCAGCTCGTACTCCCCACGACTGGCGAGACGTTCTTGTTATAGGCGAGCTGACGACCTCACCCGTTGGGAAGTGGACCGACAAATTTCTACAGCTCTCGGTTTACATGCGGGAGGTATTTGCGGCGCAGCCATTGCGACGATTTGTGCATGGGTTTCTAATGTTTGGAACACAACTGCAGCTCTGGGTTTACGATCGATCTGGACCGTATTCGTCTGACTTCATTGAAATCAGGAAAAATCCGGAAAAGCTGTTGTACGTCATAGCTGCGTATATGATGATGACCAACGATGAACTTGGCATTGATCCTAGTATCTATCAAGATAAGAAGAAGACCATCATCACAGTAACTGATGCCGACACTTTGAAGGAGAAGAAGTTGTACCTTCAGCCACAGCCGTTCATAAAGCAAAACGCAATTGTCACGCACGGCACGGCGATATTCCTTTCTCTGGACAAGACGTTTGTGGTGAAGATTTCTTGGAGAGCTGTAGGACGCAAGTCGGAAGCTGAACTTCTTTTGAGGGCACGGGGCGTGCGAGGGCTAGCGACATTGATTGGATCGAGCGATACCTGCAAGATTAGTGAACTTCGCAGCGAGCTTACTTTCACGGAAGGAATGAAAAAAGATATTCATCCACCTGAATCCAAGATGACGACGGCATGCAACTCAGCACAATCTGGGTCTCAAAACTCAGGTGAAAGCGCTGAGCTAAACGGAGGTGTCAAGCGTGGCAGCGAGTTCATCGACGGTGCTAATAAGCAAGATATCCGAAGGAGCAAGAGGGCGTGTGTCGTAAATATTTCAAGGCAAGCTCAGCTCAACGCCGCGACAGCAAGAATACGTAAAAGCGTCAAATCTGGCGCCCCAGGAAGCAAAACTGGAGCGAAAAATGGGTCAAAGATGTCGGAAGCTAATGCGAACCTCGTGATTAAAGTAGCAGCTTCAGAAACGCCTACTGCACAGGATAATCTGGCCACAGAAAGCAGCCTTGATGTTGGTCAAGGGTCAAACTCATCTTTGGGAAAAAGGAACAGAGATGCTGATGACAACGACGCCAACACCGATGTGGACATGTTACCTGAGCGAGATATGAAGAAGCTCTGCATATCAGGCAATACTGGAGAATCAGATTTGGAAGCCAGCGCCGGGCCTGTGACTACGCAAGAAAACGACGTCCCAGGAGCCTCAGGCGAACAAGCGCTTGTTGATGCAGAGATGAAAACTTCGGCACCTGTTCCAGATGTCACCAACACTGATTCTCCGACGATTTACAGGAATCGTTGGAAGACAGTCATCGCATCGAAACCTTTCGGACGTGCTATCGATGAAGATACAACACCCCTTGAACTGATTTGCGGGCTACGCGACGCAATTAAGGGCTACAAGTCACTTTTTATGGATTCGAAAATATTGCACCGCGATATATCGACAAATAATATTATATTGACAGACCCGAAGCTCAATGATGGTTGTTATGGGGTGTTGATAGACTTGGATCTGGCAATTTCGATGAGTGATGATAGTTGTTCAGCAGATGCCAAGCTCCTGACGGGGACGATGGAGTTTATCGCACTCGGTATTTTGAAAGCTCATGCACTCCCAGAAGGGGATGGAGTTATTCATTCGTATCGACACGATCTAGAATCTTTCTTCTATGCACTCATTTCAGTCTGTATACGTCTTGGATGGCCCTCGAAAAAATGCCCTTTCATTGGTACGCTAAGGAAATGGTACAAAGGAGAAGTCGTGAATACATACTTCTCTAAAAAAGGCGCAGTTTCTCCCTCAGACTTCAAAGCCATAATTTTGGATGCATTCTCGCCAAAATTTAATTGCGTGAAAGAGCTAGCTTCAAAGTTGCGTATCAAATTATTCCAAAGAAATATCGATCCGTGTATAGATACCGACCCGTTTCCTGAAGATCTTTATAACTCGATATTGAAAGCTTTCGACGAGGAAATTGTAAAGATGAAGCGTGAGTTATATTCTTCACTAACGCCCTTTACTCTTCATCAAAAGTGTAAACATTTACTGACTCGTCGTCTTTAAAGCAGCTTGATGAATGAGACTATGCGGTAATAACAGAGAATATAAGGATATCAATGATGTCTTGGGTAGGATGCTGACACCAATGACAGTTGCTTAAAGCTCGGACTTGCAGCCAAAAGAATAAGAGAATGTTTGTGTTCACTCATCTCTTCCCATTTTGGTAAGCTGGAGTGATTGTATCTCACACAAGGGCTGATGAATGAACCAGGACAACAGATAATGAACTAGGTGGATTGAATTTGTTCATGTCGGCGATTCTTGTTTGTACTAGTATGTAAAATTTACTATGCGGACCTGAATTTTTATTAATTGTTTCAATCTAGTAAATAGATGATAGTACTTTTGTTATATGATACTAAGTGACGGGCTAGGATTTCCGGCCGATGTACGAAAGCAACGCCACAATTAATCGTTTATATTTTACATGCAGAAATTAGAAGCAAGAAGCTATGGCGCTTTACAATGACGACACCTGTTCGAGATCTCCTTGCACTTTCCACGTGAACTGAAAGTACTGCCGTATAGTAAGCATATTTACAAACATGCTTACATGTCAAGATCCTGGTGAGAGAAATTTGCTACACTTAAAATGGAAATCAGAATGGCAGACAGTCAGTCGGACTCTTTTGTAGTTTCTGGATGCTTTAGGGCGCGTCAGAGCGTCGGGTAGTTAATTTGGGACTGAGCCAGCCGGCACGTTTCAATAGATATGTGCTGTGCACTGACACGACGTTAAATTTAATTAAATCAAATGGAATGAAAGGAAGGAAGCAGTTCTCAAGTCTGATCCATCCCACATCCCACACCCCACATCGCATTACTCACTACCCTTTTTTTTCAAGAATGTCCAACAGACGCAATGGCCCCAGCTGTTCCATCATCATCGATAACGCCCTCGGATCCAGGAGGGCAACTTCACCAGAGCCTGCTTGGCATCGTGAATGCAATGCAAAAAGCAGAACAGAGAAAAGAAAGATTAGGCATAGCCCAGGAAAATCTTGAACTAATCAACTCCTGGGCTTAGAGCAGAAGAGAGAAGCAAGCAGCAGCAGTCGTCGCGACACTGATGGAAAAGATCACGCCTGAAATAACTGCCTTCGCAGTAGATCAGGCAGAAGCACCCAACTATCTAAGGAAGAAACCCCCACCATGGCTAGCACTCTCAAGCCAGTCGCGCCTAGGAACCATATCTTTGTGAAGGACAACAGCCACGGCCTACCTCCAAAGCCTCGAGGAAATAGCTTAATCTGGGCGACAGTAGTTGGCAAAGCTTCCGACTCCGCCAGAAAATTGTGGCTATGAGCTGTAGGGTGTATGGTAATTATGACTCTACTGTACGTCGGTGAAGTGGCACGGGCTCATTTGCAATGGTGAGTCGCGGAGATGGCACGATGGACACTGAGTGCGTGTCACTGTTGCCAATAGGTGGTCAGTAGGTATCAAATGTGAACTCTTACTGACAATGGTGATTTATGAAGGTGATGCTAGATGCGCATCCCAACGATTGATAATATCATCTAATGGATGATGTGAAGTATGATATTATTCTGATAGATTAATTCACTAAACTTGGCAGGTGAAGAGATTGTAATAATATTCTCTGGTACAGTTTGAGTAGTCTGGGCACCTACTCCACTTGGGAAGGAGACACCTAAGACCCCATTTCGCGCGGAGAAATGTGAACGGATGATGGGGGCATGTCTGAATAACTCAGGGGTTTTGAGATGTTCTCCTGATTGGGCATTCACGGATGAGGGTTGACTTGGGGTGAAGAAAAAGCCACCATAACCTCGCAGTGGTACCTGCAAATGAAATCTGAGGCATGAGTGCTCCTCTTGTAAATTAAGTCATATTTTCTGTACTTTTTCTCCGATATTGTGTCATAGCTAGATATCTGCATACGCAATTAAAATCTGATGCAAAAAAAAAAAATGAGAAGCCAACGGCGGAGAGGGCAAGACTGAACACCTGTACGCAGTGTCTTCTACGAGCCACGTAATAAAATGTTTTACTAGAGCCAAGTTTAGTCAAACTCGCAATACCAGACAAGTTGGCCCACGAGGCAATGATTCCATACTTCTCATAAAGGCAATATGTCACTCCCAACGAGGTCGATCCCAGACAAGGTCTCATCAAGTCTACAAGTGCGACCTATTACATCCTTACTACAATTACCATACCTCTTGCCAAATTATTCTCTGGCATCAGATGGCCTCGACATACACGCCCACAACAACACGGATACCCACTGGATGACACAAATTGTGATGCACAAATCTAAGTGGCTGTTGGAGTGTAGAAAGAACTTCGGTTTCACAAATGCCGGTTAACGGAGAAGAAGGCCAGTTTGCTTGATTAACTAAATATACTAGTGGTATCGCGATATGTACAGCAGAATTGCAAGGAGTCAAGTTTATCCAGAGTCAAGCTGACTACAGAATCAATCGAGATCCCTGACGGAAAAAAAACTATCTACCGACCCAGAATACTGGGGCATGCACGAAAAAATATGAACAAAGCCAACAACTGAATTTGTTCGGTAAGAATAGGATTCAAACAGAACCAAAGCTTGAGTCCGTTTGGATTAGAATGATAGACTAATGCCTGAATTTAAAAGCACAATTCAGGCAAAATGTATGGAACCACACTGGTCGATAGAAAGAAATGCAAGCAGCTGTAGTTCCAAAAGTGGCAGTTTTTTTCTGGGATGGACGTGAAGGCGTTGTGGACAAGCGGACAAAATTATGACCATGTAGAGTACAATCTCGAGAAGGGTAAGATTTCGAATTTTCGGAGGGATTATTACAAATTGAGCCTAAGGGGACTATTCTCAACACCTGTCAGTGGTGTCCCCTAAGAAGCTCCAGCTCTCACTGGAAAGTCTGCAGAGCCGAGATTGAGTGACAAAGTCCTCACTTGGACGAGGATTCCCAATCGCTTTCGCCGTCTGTATCGTCTTCATATCTCAACACATTCCCCTATAACCATTATCATGAAGCTAACTACGATCAGATCAGATGGTAGGGCCGGAGCCCAACTCATCACCAACCCTTGATCATGGAGGAAAAGCCATCCGATGAGTTTCCCGAGCATACCCAGCACCTGATACGGATATAGTGGATTGGATCAAGCTGCCTTGAATGTTACGAAGAAGGGAGATAAAGATAAACACGCGCGCCTCATCTGATCCCGGTGTCTAGGCCTCGCCTGACTGGGCCTGCAGGTTTTTTGAGGCTTTTTCCCGCGCACGCAATTTCGATTGCTACCATTTTATTTTTTTGGGTAGAAGGTTCCGTGGAAAAGATGGCCGGAGTCCACGGCTAAACACCGAGCTGAATGGATATTCATCAAAGGCAATATATCAATAATCTTTCAAGAAAAATGAGAGGCAAGGAGCACTATACAAGGTGTGGTCTGGGTCAGAGAGAAGCCCAGTGCGCTAGATAGTCAATGACTCAAGTAGTACAATAAACACGCCCTCGCACTACTCGTTGTACCCTTTAAACGTCAGTTAATGTCAAGTTATCGGACTACTTCGCTCGCTCCACAACTCGACTTCTTGACGAGTCCCTTTCGAATATCTTTCGCCTCTCCAGTCTTTGAACACCTGACATCTCGCTGGCTTAATTATCTCTCAGTATTCTTCGTTAGGTCTTATGATCATTAGTTATCAAGACATGGCCTCCGGCAGACAGAGATCTCCACTATCCTTAGCGCACGCCGTAACATTGTTCACACAAAACTGACAACACACCTCCACAAGTCACTATCAAATGAGAGTAGTAAAATCTTTCATTATCCAAGCAAGCTGTTGACAGCTATACCCAAGAACACAGCTGGATCAGCTGAGTTCGACTGTATTCGCACCCACAATAACCTCCCTCATGTAGGATGAAATTCCGCACTATCTAGATTCGACTTGGAACTTCAACCCTTTCATGAACCACCGCATCAGAAAACCACAGAATTGTTAATTATTTCGCCTACTCTGTGGTGCCATAAGAAACCGCACTGATAAACGCATGTTTTGTGTGCGCTACGGCTAGATTAGCACAATATATGATTATTATAATTTTACTGTTCTATCTCAGTCTATGAATATGTAGGACATGCAGATCCTCTATACCTATAGACCAAGGATACTTGTGCGAGTAGTGACTCCCCTCCTACGATTCCCATACAGCTCTCCTCATACAGTGCCACCCCTCACAAACTCTTATTCAAACATACACTCAGAGGAGCCCTTAACAGTTTATCATGTCCCCCCTCCAACCAACGAATTAAGAATCATGTGCGGGTGTATGGCAGCTGGAGGAGATCCCAAAGTTCACTAGGTGTGGGCATCTTCTAACACCGGCATTAGGACTAGATCCGAAGTCACAATGACCCTTCAAAGCCGTTGGAAGAGGCCAGCCAGATAGATGCTACAGACTAGTGTGTGCTGAGAAAGGTCACTCTCTTCGACGAAGATCGTGTTGAAATATCAGAAAAGTGTGGACAGCGTGTGTTTGCCGTACGGTGGCTTAGGCCGACTTCTTCGTGCCATTGAATCATTGAAGATCGTAATACTCATGGCCAACTTATTGTGAGGTTATGGATCGTAGAGAAATGCTGGAATGGTATAGGGAGGTGAAGTGTATATGCCGAACAATGAAGCAGTTGAATAGAGCTTAAGGGTGAAGCTTGGTATGGTGATACGAAGAGGGTATGAATAGACCTTCAGAGATATTCAGTAAATGTAATGAACTGAGGATTTCTGAAGGAGAAGAACACTACATATATATACAGGAATTAGTCCTACTGAGACGAATTTAGAAATAAGCCAGGATATGCGCACATGTCCCAGTATGGCGACATTATCATGGTGAAGGTATGTCTTGAACACCAGTAGACCCCCAAGCTAGCTGAGTGTAAGACAGAATCATGCATATACCATAATTTCCAACATATCTTGTGTTAAGCGCTAAGACTAATTAATATTACAGAAAATAGATGTGGCGCAGTATTAAATGATACGAATAACGGAAACGAAAACGAGTTAGTACATGACTAGTGTAACAGATGCAGGACTGTTAGAATTACAACAAGATTTGATGTCTATCAGCGGTCACGAGAGCTTGTGTTCATATAACTAAACAGCTTCCAAGGGAATTTAGAAGTGAAATCATCTATCATGATTGTAGTTTAGATAGAAGAGTCAGCATGACCACTGTGAATTAATTACTTATGTTTTACTACTGAATAAACAAATTGCATTAACTTCAAAAATATTTCAGCCAGATTATCCGAGATAATTCCCCATGGGTGATTAAACTGATGGCAGTGTAACTTCAGTATAATTTTTTCAACTCGATACACTTTGTGAGTACGCTTACGAAATCTTGTGAGACTTTATATTCTCCAGGGCGAGGCCAGCTAACATTAAATTTCAAGAATAACGGGTTAGCTAGTGGTTACAATGAATCGCCTGGACGATGAGAGAACAGTAACGTTAAATCTTGATCAAAAGAGGCTTGTATCATGCAAAGGACTTGTCAAGATTCTGGATCTTCCTCTTCACTGACTTCTTCACCAGCTTCCAGCGCTTTTTGTTTATTTCTTTGGACTCTTTCTCTTTTTTTCTCGAGTAACTTTTTCAGACCTTTGGCGACATTAAAGACTCCACCAGTACCAGCACCACATGCCGCACAGCTGGAAGTCTTTTTGAACTTTTTCAGGGCGCAATTCTCGCAGAAATAGTGACCACATTTCGTAATAATTGGATTCTGGTAACTTTTTTTGCATATGATACAGGCAAAAGGTATATTCTCTAGGCTAGTATCATCATCTGAATCATTCTCTTCCACTTTACGATCTGCACTGGCCACTTTAGTCCCGCCGACTATCTTTTTGCCTTTCGTGACATTTTCCCACTCCTTGTCTAGCTGCCATCCATGCTTATAATCTTCTCGAGCATGGAGATATTTGCAGCTGTCACCGAAACCGCAGAAACCAGTCTGTTTGTAATCCTTGCACACATCAGGTGCAAAGTCAGTAACAGTGATTGTACGAAGATTTGTGGGAGCCTTGACGGGTCCAACTACCCGATTTGGGGCATTTGGATTTTTCGCAATGAAGGTCTTTGTATTTGCAAGTCCAGTATAATTCCCATCTAGTTGATGTGCAGGGGCAGTTTCCGCGGGCACCAAAGTTCTCTTGGAAGATACTGCATCGTTCTTGTTTTGTTCATACCAATTACTGGATTTGGTCGCGTCATTCGAGCTCTTGATAGTAGTGCTTCGGTCCGCATTGAATCGGGTTGGTTCAAGGTCTGGCGTAGAGTAGACGATCGCTCCAGAGGATGCAGTTATGCTGCTGGAAATGTGCTTACGTCGTTTAATTTTTTTTCCAGCTTCATCTTCAGAAGATGAATCGTCAGAATTACTGCTCGATGGTGGTTGACTGACAGCGCGCTTTCGGAACTTCGCCTTTCCAGCAGCGTTGCGTTTTTTAAAAATGGCTGGAGGCTGCCTAGGAAGACTTTTAACTTCCTGGTCTTCCATAATTAAAATAACAGCAAACTTTTATCAATTATTATTACTAGAGGTAGATTTCGGGAGTGACTGCACATATGTATGTGTAACTCTCTCTTTCTCTCTGGCATTACGTAAGAAAATACACTTGCGAATATTTCGGAGTTTACACTGGACAAATTTTGCCAGCTTAAAATGTATAAAATCACGACCGTGATTTACGTGAACAAATGAAGAGCTGGACGTCCGTAATTGCTATGATCCGTTCTCCGGATCGCTCCCCCATGAAAAAAATATGAGTATCAGCCTTTGGGCCGCGTTTATATCACGTGTTATTTGTCATCACATCTTAAAGTCTGAAATCCTTCCACATGATTTGATTGAAGTTTGTCTCGTTTAAACACCCAGGTAGCAAGAACACCCTAGGCTTGCCCACACTAGACAGTGCCAAATTCGGGTTTGATGGGTTCCGAGCCACACAGCTATAATTGGAAATGAAGGAGGGCAAGACTAAGCACCTGTACGCGGTGTCCTCTACGAACCTGGGAGTGAAATATTCTCTCAGAGCCAAGTTCAGCCAAATTTCGCAATATCAAAGAAGCTGGCCCACGAGGCAAAAATTCAAATTACTCCACCACATCGTTTTTTCGCTCCCAACGAGTTTGACGCCTACCTAAGTCTCATCAAGTCTACAAGTACGAACCAGTACATCCTCACCCCTATGACCACACCACTCCTCGACCTTCTCTAGTCTCAGTTAACCACCAAATACACGCCCACGCCGATATTTAAACCCGACAGAAGCAAAGCGTGGCGCCCAAATCTGGGAAACAGTTCGTTGGTATGGACGTGAGAGGGATCAGGACAAGTTTACAAGATGATGTGAAGGAAGGATATAACCTCGAAGGGCGTGAAACTCCGAATTTTGGCAAGAGTTTCACGAATTGAGCTTTGTGCGCGCCAAGACTTCGCTTACGAGAGTGCAGCTGACACTATAAAAACAAGCCGACGATGTAAGGTTTTGTGGTCTGCCTCCTGGTGGTGTTCTCCGGTATAGTTTGAGTAGCCTAGGCACCTACTCCACTTGGGGAGGAGACACCTCAGATCACATATCGCGCGGAGAAAAGTTGAAAGATGATGGAGGCATGTCTAGATAACTCAGTGTTTTTGAGACGTTCCTCTGGGTGGGTATTCACGGATGAGGGCTGGCTTGGGGTGAAGAAAAAGCCGCCATAACTTCGCAGTGGCACCTGCAAATGAAATCCAAGGCATGAGTGCTCTTCCTTTTTATTGAGTCATCAATCATGTACTTTTCTCTGGTATTATGTCGTGGCTAGAATGCTGGATAAAATTTAAAATCTGACGCAAAAAACACCCAAAATCTGCAGCGCCCAGCTGGCCGGCCTCTTTGAACGCTTCAGAAGGATTACTTTGTTTTTGGATTTAGTCATAATGTCGGTAGTAGAAGAGCCACGCACCCAGTGGTTTTTGCGAGTTTTCCCGGCTGCCAATCACCCGCGAATGGCCATCGTTTCGTTGGCTGGAGAGGGGAGAGAATGACGGGATAACGGCTCCTCTTAGTGTGTACTCGAATGAATACCTGTGGGGGTATTACGACAGGAAAGAATTCATGGAGCAGGTATAGGAGGGAGTACACTACCCGAGGCATAGATACTCCCGGCCATTAGGCATAATGGCCCTACATGTTTTTTCATAGTTAAGACTCATTAGGACAATAAACACTCACTCACTCTTAGATGTAAGACTATAATATCGTAGAGGTCTGGATGGTGCAGTGGAACACTATTCGGGCCATCCTCTCAAGTAGATACTGGGTAGCTTGAACACCTACCCCATTCGAGACAGGAGAAAGCTGGTTCGATTCCAGTCTGACCCACACACCACTCTCTCTCACGGTGATATGGTACTTGCGGGATGATGAAAGTACACTTGGATAGCCACAGGTTTTTCACGCTTTTCCCTGTGGTGGGTATGCACGGAAGAGGTTATACGCCGTAAGAGTTAATCTCGAGTGGTATCTGCAGATGAAATCTGAGCGTGAGTGTTCTAAACTTCAAATTGAGTCATCCTACTGCAAGTACATATCTTCGGAAAAAACCTGCATGTGCCTCAAGGCACCAAATCAGTATAATGAATTATTTATTTACAATGTCGCAGAAACCAGTAAGGCAGGGGGACTATTCTCAACACCTGTCAGTGGTGTCCCCTACAAACCTCCAGCTCTCACGGGAAAGTCTGCAAAGCCGAGATTGAGTGACAAAGTCCTCCCTCCGATGAGATTCCCCAACCGTTTTCGCCGTCTGTGTCGTCTTCATCTCCCAACACATCCCCATACCACCGCTATCATGAAGCTAACCACGATCAGATTAGATGGTAGGGTCGAAGCCCTTCTCAGCACCAACCCTTAATTATTGAGGAAAAGCCATCCAATGAGTTTCCGGAGCGTACCCCGCACCCGATACGGAGATGGTGGATTGGATCAAGATGAACTCGACTGTGACAAAGAAGGGAGATATAGATGAATATGCGCACCTCATGTGGTCCCGGTGTCTAGGCCTCGCCTGGCTAGGGCTGCAGGTTTTTTACTTTCACGTTCTCAAGGAGCTGTATTATCGGTATTCCGCGAGGTACGAGTTTAGTACATGTAGAGAATAGTGATTATTTCAGTGAGGAAGAGGTATAAAGTCAGCGTAAGGTGTAGGATTCACGGAATAAGTAAAGGTAAAGTGAGCAGTAGGCAAGGTCGGTACATAAGCAGCGGCCTTCTTTAAGGGAGCGGATAACTCTGTGAATAATAGGTGTCAAACATGGAATTGTATGAATGGTATTGCTTTGGTCAAACTACGTCGTTTGATGAGTCATAGCGCATCAATGAGGGCTGTTTTGGGTTGGGGTTTTTCCTCGGGTGTTTGAAGGGCAGTCTCAAGCAGAACCACGATGTTTCTAGAAAGTATCAGCCCTGTGTGACGGAAACCAAGTTGGTGATGAATAAATCGATTTAATAAACTTTATGAGGAGAAAAGCTAACTCTAGCTACTACTAACAGGTATTTATAGGAGTTAATCCTCCTCGTGAATATACAAACCAGTGACTTGTCCTCAGGCTCAATACTTCTACCCAGCCACGTATTTCCAGGTGTCACTAAGTTGTAATGACGCTTCAGCCTCCTGAGTAGTAGTGCCGTTTTGTTCAGCTTCATCTCCACCCCGATACAGCCTCATGAGGCATGTGTATATACAGAGGTTTTTCTTTAGAATAGGACGGATAGACTTTCACCAATAGACTTTACTCTACATTTTCAATTGACCCTAAGGATCTAAAAATATGTATCAGTGTAAACAGAAGACTTTGCGTGAAGAAAAATACTTCTTCAAGCTGGGTATATATGTACATCAGATAACAGGACAGCCATGAGATGTTTCAAACGTTTTTAGTACGCCATTTCTATGATGCGAGCCCATATGCCTGAGCCCGTCCTACTTGTTAAGGAACTCGATCTAACAGCGAGTTGTGTTTTGATGTGCGAGTTCCCATAAGGCAACATCCTAGAGTTCACCACGTTTATCCATAAACCACGCGCACACAGTTTTCAACCACCACTTTTTTTTTCTTTAATTTTTGGGTGAAAGGATCCGTTGAAAAGGTGGCTGACTTCCAAAGTTAAACAATGAGTTGAATCGCTACTCACCACGGGTAATTTATCTATGGTCTTTCAAGGACCATAAGAGGCAAAGAGCACTGTATAAGGTGTCGCCTGAATCAGAGAGGAGCCGGACGTGCTAGATAGTCGTAGCCTCATATTATACAGCAAACGTACACTTCTCTCTCCCCTTTCCAGCCGACGAAACGAATTTCATTTGCGGGTGTGATACTGCAAGGAGATGTCTTAAAAATCACTAGGTGCGGGGCTCTCCTATGAGAAAGAGGCCGGCCAGCCGAGAGCAGTGACCTGTGTATACATAAGGGCGTCTCTCAACCTTCCTAGACTGCTCCTTACTCATCCCATGATTCATGCCGTAAGATAAACTGAAGGTCGTGAAGGGATGTCATAAAATTCTTGATTGTGAGTGACTGCCGTGAAAGAGCTGAGCCAGACATCCAAAGGTCGTTCCGGATGTGGGGTCGTCGAGAAGCTCATGTATTTCAGATGGCCTCCTGGCTAATAGATTCGGAGGTATAGATTAGATTGAAGAATATTATTGACGAGTCGAAATCGGCTTTTCTTGAGGGCGGAAGGGTCTTTAAATTTGCATTCGTGGGATTCTTATTCCCTCGCCAGTAGGTAGCGCATGTTGTAATATAACGAGAGCTTCTCTGACTACTATTGTAGCGTTTGGTTGCGCATTATCTTTCCTTATTCCAGCATCACTATCGTCGTCTTGGTCTTCTAATGTGTTAACGGAAGCATATCTTTAATGCAGGGGGAGATAACTCAGCCCAAAGTTGAAAAGATGTTTCTCAATCTCGGTTCCGTAGACTCTCAGGTGAGAGCTAGAGATAAGTAAGAGTTGTCACTGGTAGGTGTTCAGTTTCGACCAGGACATCACCCTATTAGCAAGACGTCAAAGAGGAAGCAAGAAGAGGTGGATTAACAAACGTGTTCTTCGAGATAGCCAGCACTCTACTAATCGGCCGATTTCGCGCCAGAGGCAGCTCATCCCCTAGCTTGTATGTCACGTGATATTGCTCTTTTCCATCCTTACAACACTCAGAAGATTCTAGCATCTCGGGCTAGATGCTCGCCAAGCCATTATCTCATTCGGACTTCATCTATCGGGATCCATAATGTTCATCCTGATTCCAGTGAGTCTGTCCATATCCTAGTATGCCCTGCTTTGTCGTGCTGATTTCTACAATGACCCAGAATATTCTACTTACAATTCGGTATCCCGGTAGCGGCGATGTCATGGCTCGCTGTAAGTTGGACGTCAATCCAGATATTTCAGGCACGAAAACATCGTCATTCGTGGTCGACGAGTTGGTTTGAGAGGTTGAAACTGCCAGCGCCTGGCTGAATTGATGGATACAAATAGCTTTTCGTGAATTTTGCAGGTCATTTAGTAACATGTTTCGTAGAGGTTATTTATGGTGGTAGTTCACTTTTCATCCTCGCTGCCAATTAGAAGCACCACACTTGACCCGCAGTGGAGAGCTCATGTAATGCAGGGTCCAGGGCTACGGGTCTATCCGGGAATGTGGTGTAATTCAATCCGTGGTCATCCGAAGTTCCTAGAATATTCACAGAGTTTCTAGACACTTGACGACGTTGTCAGGTGAGAGTTCTGCAAATGGAGACTTCCCGTGGACTCTGGAAATTTCCAGAACTAGGCTTGAGTGGTATAAAGTAGGAGGAAGACTTCTCCGAGTTCACCAAGAAAACATCCATTGAAAATCGCTTCGAACTGCTTCACTCATCATCTTTGTTATATTCATCTCACTCATCACACTCATCACGAAAGACAATTCTCAAAACATTATCCCGATAACTTTTACTCATCAAACACCGACTCCTCATCAACAAAATGTCACTCTTCCCTCGAGCATTTTTCCACCGAGATGAGACACCTAGCCCGACCATCTTCCGACTACTGGACGAGATCGATCAGTACTCTCGTGGCAGAGACCGGAATACGCATCACATCACAAAGTCTTTCACACCCAAGTTCGACGTGAAGGAGCTCGGAGACTCGTTTGAGCTGCACGGAGAGCTACCTGGTATTGATCAGAAGAACGTCGACATTGAGTTCACCGATGCGTCAACACTCACCATCAAAGGCCGCATTGAACGCAGTTATTCCAAAGGCACTCCACCAGCTGGATTTGTGGAGGGCGAGGCCGACAAAGCAGCAACATGCGAGGGCGAGAAATGCGGCACGACAAATCAAGATAACAAAGTTTCGGTCAAGAAGAGCGAAGATTCCAACACGTCACGGGAGAAGTTCTGGGTGATGGAGAGGAGTATTGGGGAGTTCTCAAGGTCCTTCGAATTTCCGGTGCCAGTGAACCAAGACAGTGTGAAGGCTTGGATGAAAGACGGGATATTGAGCGTCATGATACCAAAATCGAAGAAGCAAGAAAACCGCAAAATAAGTATTCAATGAATGATAAATGGCAGTGGCGGAAGGTTTATGTTTGGAGTCCAGCGGCCGCAATTAATGTTAACTTTGCAAGGATATGAATGGGAAACGATGGGAGACAATTGTTCTTAAATATTACAAATAATTAACTATATTAGAAAAAACGATTCTTTAAACAATATTTTACTGGATTATCTCGTAATAAATTATATCAAATTAATGACTCTCCAGCGTGTTAGACGAGACATGAGACGATCTGCCCGGAGATTTCTTAAACATCAGCCACCATTTTCCTTTATCCTCCCCATCAAAGTAAGTCGATTTTTGATCAATAAAAAACTAAGTAGCTAAAAGTCAGGTTGTTGTTGTACAACTGCGCTAGGCCTCTGTCAGGCATCAATATATTTGAGGCAAAAAATGAAGGGAGAACTGAGCATATAACATAATTTATCTCATAAAGTGCTGAGTAGTCTTCTCTTTGTAGAAACAAGATACCCCATTGTAATTACCTGAAAAGCAGTTCCGCCTCTCTTCTGACCAAATTGATCATTACGACGAAATGCCTTATTACTATTCATAACATAACTAATTCTGATGACGGGGAGCTCTCAGCTCGACCGATTCAGAGGACTCTCGATAAAGGTTGAGCTCACTTCAGGATAGATAACTGGATGAGAGGCGATACTAGAAGAGCTCGAATTTACATAAAAGCTATACGAATCGAGACCAGTTTTAAATCATCTGATGTTTGCGCAATTTTCTAACTACGGTGATTATTAATTCATTGTGTTGTACTGTCTAAGTCTCAGACTATGTAGGACATGCAGGTCCTCTCTGCCTACAGGCCAAGGATACCTATACCAGTAGTATATCCCCTCCTATGCCTCCCATACAGCTCCCCTCAAACAGTACCACCCCTCACAAGTCCTCATTCGATCATACACTAAGAGGAGCCCTTTGACCTTCATTATCTCCTCTCTCCAGCCAACAAAACGATGGTCATTTGCGGGTGTATGGCAGCCGGAAAACTAACAAAAACCACTGGGCGCGGGACTCGTCTAATACCGACATCAGGACCAAATCTGAAGACATAGTGATCCTTCTGAAGCGTTCAGAAAGGCCGTCCAGCTGGGCGCTGCAGACTTGTGGGTACCTTGAGAAATTTGCCTTCTGCCTTTCTAGCCTCCTTCCAACTCCTTCCCGAAGGTCGTGCTGAAATGTCAGAAAAGTCTTGACAGAGCGTGATTGCTGTATAGTAGCTTAGCCTAACTTCTTTTGTACCGTCCAGGGCGCTGGGGAGTGCCGTTGACTCATCGACAGAAGAAGCCCTCCTGGCTAATTAGCCGAAATCTTGGTCTTGGCGTCCACAAAAAATCCAAATTTGATAATTCCTCGAAAATATCAGTCCCAGCATACTCTTCAGATGACCTGTTCCCCTCTCGCTCCACATCTCAGCCGCTTGTTCTTCCTCAAGATGTATAACCCCATTAGAGCAGCAGTTCCCCATAAACCAAGACCCCAACTTTGTATTTTTCGACTTGATTTCCTCCTTGCGGGTATAAAAAGCGTCGTAAATATGTAGAGAGAGATGGCCAGTAATGAATGAGGCAAGCTCCTGTTTGCAATTGGGGTGACGCCTTTATCGGTCGTCGAGGCGAAGTGATATGTGGTTAGATCGGGGTTGAGGACTCAGAGAATAATGATGAGTGCTGCATGGTTGAGAAGTCGTCAAATGGAGATATACATGTGTTTGCTTTCGACTTCGATTCGGATGCGATTCTTCTTGGCTATCCTAGATATGCAGAGCATACTGAGCGATTACACCGGCACCACTGGAAGGTGAAGAATTCGTCTTTGCCGGCAAACACAACCTATTTCCCTCTCAGTGTGTGTGGTTTTATTGTACTACTTGAGTTTATGACTATAAAGCGCACTGGGCTTCTCTCTGACCCAGGCCACACCTTGTATAGTGCTCCTATCCTCTTTTGTTACTTGAAAGATTATTGATATATTGCCTTTGATGAATATCCATTCAGCTCGGTGTTTACCCGTGGACTCCGGCCATCTTTTCCACGGAACCTTCTACCCAAAAAAATAAAATGGTAGCAATCGAAATTGCGTGCGCGGGAAAAAGTCTCAAAAAACCTGCAGGCCCAGCCAGGCGAGTCCTAGACACCGGGACCACATGAGGTGCGCATATTCATCTACATACCCCTTCTTTGTAACAGTCGAGGTCGACTTGATTCAATCCACCATCTCCGTATCGAGTGCTGGGTACGCTCCGGAAACTCATCGGATGGCTTTTCCTCCGTGATCAAGGGTGGGTGACGAGTAGGGCTTCGACTCTACCATCTGATCTGATCGTGGTTAGCTTCATGATAATGGTGATAGGGGGGATGTGTTGAGGGATGAAGACAGTACAGACCGCGAAAGCGATTTAGGATCCTCATTCAAGTGAGGAGATTGTTACTCAATCACGGCTCTGCAAACTCTACAGTGAGAGCTAGAGGTTCGCAGGGGACACCACTGACAGGTGTTGAGAATAGTTCCCCTTTCCCTCTCAGTCTCTGGCCTTGGATGGACTCTAAATACATGCCCACGCTGATACTCGTACTAGCTGGAGCAGACAAACCGCTGCGCACAAGTTTTGAGGGCAGTATGTGTCATTTGCGTGAGAGGAATCAGGACAAGCAGGTTAGTTCAAACTGATGCCGCATACAATCTTGAGGCGGTTGAAATTTCAAACTTTTGGCCAGGGCTCTTAAAATTTGGAAAATATCGTGCGCGCGAAGAGGTCGATTGAGAGGGCGCAGGCGACACTACAACACCAACGTAGTTACCCAGCACAAACAGATTCTTCACCTTCCAGTGGTGCCGGTGTAATCGCTCAGTATGCTCTGCATATCTGGGATAGCCAAGAAGAATCGCATCCGAATCGAAGTCGAAAGCAAACACATGTATATCTCCATTTGACGACTTCTCAACCATGCAGCACTCATCATTATTCTCTGAGTCCTCAACCCCGATCTAACCACATATCACTTCGCCTCGACGACCGATAAAGGCGTCACCCCAATTGCAAACAGGAGCTTGCCTCATTCATTACTGGCCATCTCTCTCTACATATTTACGACGCTTTTTATACCCGCAAGGAGGAAATCAAGTCGAAAAATACAAAGTTGGGGTCTTGGTTTATGGGGAACTGCTGCTCTAATGGGGTTATACATCTTGAGGAAGAACAAGCGGCTGAGATGTGGAGCGAGAGGGGAACAGGTCATCTGAAGAGTATGCTGGGACTGATATTTTCGAGGAATTATCAAATTTGGATTTTTTGTGGACGCCAAGACCAAGATTTCGGCTAATTAGCCAGGAGGGCTTCTTCTGTCGATGAGTCAACGGCACTCCCCAGCGCCCTGGACGGTACAAAAGAAGTTAGGCTAAGCTACTATACAGCAATCACGCTCTGTCAAGACTTTTCTGACATTTCAGCACGACCTTCGGGAAGGAGTTGGAAGGAGGCTAGAAAGGCAGAAGGCAAATTTCTCAAGGTACCCACAAGTCTGCAGCGCCCAGCTGGACGGCCTTTCTGAACGCTTCAGAAGGATCACTATGTCTTCAGATTTGGTCCTGATGTCGGTATTAGACGAGTCCCGCGCCCAGTGGTTTTTGTTAGTTTTCCGGCTGCCATACACCCGCAAATGACCATCGTTTTGTTGGCTGGAGAGAGGAGATAATGAAGGTCAAAGGGCTCCTCTTAGTGTATGATCGAATGAGGACTTGTGAGGGGTGGTACTGTTTGAGGGGAGCTGTATGGGAGGCATAGGAGGGGATATACTACTGGTATAGGTATCCTTGGCCTGTAGGCAGAGAGGACCTGCATGTCCTACATAGTCATAGACTCAGACAGGACAATAAAATGAATTAATAATAATAGGTCGTGTTTGCAGGTTTGGTGAGGCCGAGGCAGGAGTGCAGGCGACACTATAAACACCGCCATGGTTGGATGGTGCGGTGGTACATCGTCTTGGCCGATCTCCCAAGTAGAGTCTGGATAGCTTGAACACATATCCCACTTGAGACAGTAGATCGCTGGTTCAAATCCAGCAAAACAACCCCACTTTTCTCGCGGCGCTGGCATGCATGGATGACGAAGGTATGCTTGGATAATCAAAGGTTTCGAAATTCCATTTGGTGGGTACTTTCGGAGGAGGGTTGACTGTTTGTGTAAGCAAGCATACCTTATAGTGGTATTTGCGAATGAAATCCAGACTATGAGTGTCTCTAACGTCAAAAGAGTCATCCCACATGTAAAATAGCACCGGTCATATGTCATATGTCATAGTTCTATAGCTGAATACACATGAAATGAAATAAAAAAAAAAGAGGCCGAGGCAGGAATCGCTCTCGTTCAGAATGAGTGGCTGATTGGTAAGGAGTCTTGAGTCGTTGCCTCGTGGGCCGACCTCTTTGGCCTTGCGAAATTTGGCTGAACTTGGCTCCGGGAGACCCTTTCACTCCCACGTCCGTAGGTGATATCGCGGACGGGTGTTAGCCATTGTATATCATAGGAACTTCAGTTGACAGCGTGGTATGCTATTCCTACAATAATGTCGCCACCATGTTGGTTAAATGAAATTAACTTGAATCACGAGACGATTAGTGAGTGATACAGTTGTCGTAGTTTGGGTTAGATTAGATTTATGTCATAGCCACTACTGAGTCTAACACTGTAGACTTCGTGAATCTAGCTAAAGACTCTAATAAATTTAATAGATTTTAGTTTTGATATATGCCAATATTAGCTCTCTGGTCTAATCGCTTGTCAGAAGATCACTCCCTATTTTGACATGAAATTCAAATTCACCACCAGGTAGATCTTCAAATTCCTAGAGAGATCTAGGCGTCTCATATTACGGTCATCTCTTTGACGGTGCAGGGCCTACAGTAAATTGTCTTGAATAAAAGTGGGAAGGGGGGCCTTCGTTTCATTCTATGGAGACAGAGAATCTAAGTACAGTATGGCG